CTTTACTCAAAATTTGTATTCATGTGGAGAAGTTAAAAATGTCATGAATATTTCCGTTTTCCTCACCTGTAAGTATAATATCAGAAGTGAATACAAGGACTGAATTTTAAAAGTTTATTCATTAGTACATTCAACATATTTATTGGGTACATATTAAGCAAAAAACCTTGTTTTAGGACCAGAGATGGAGCCATATACAAGCAGATTAGGTCACTGCATTCATTGACATCTGATGGGAGAGACAGACAAGAAACAAGTAAACAGATGAGTTACAAATTTTTAGGTAGTGGGAGATGCACTGAAAGAAATATAGTTGAGTAGAGGTCAACTTTTGATTGACCACTCAAGGAAGACTCTCCGAGTTCATCTGGACATGGTGGAAAGTCAAGCTACGGTGAGAGACATTGCTGGACAAGTAAACCACATATAAAAAAGACTGAAAGTCTACTCAGCTGCTATCATGGGTCATTTCTTGTTATATCATAATATACAGAGGTCGGTGTGATTGGACACAAGTTTAGTAAGAATGGAAGAAAAACACTAGGAGATGAGTTTAAGCAGATGAGTAGCAGTTGAATCATACACGGTCTCATAGGTCATCGTGGAAGTTTGGATTTCATTCCAGAGCAGCACTTGACTGCAGGCTCCTGACTTCTGGTTCTGTCTTCCATGCCTTTCTTCTTTCAACAAGAAATGATCCATGATAGCAGCTAAGTAGACTTTCACCCTTTTTTTTTTTATAAAGATTTATTTATTTATGCATACAGGAGCTGGGGTACAGGGAAGGGGGGGTTGAGAGGGTTCACCAGAGACAGAGTGGGGAACAGAACAGGCAGACTGACTGAAACACACTGCTGAGGGGAGCAGCGGGCCGAGTCAGGAGAGGTCTGCTGCGCCATGTGGGTTGCCCCCTGGCCGGCCTGGGATCAAACTCGCACTGCGGTGGCGCCCCAACCCCTTGTACCACCAGGGAGGCCCCTCACTCTTTTTTTATACACAAAAAGTTGGCGGTCCAGAGACTTCTTTTAAATATGAGCTGTTTCTGACTCTTTTAGTTCAGATGGATATAACTCCTCTAAAAACTTTGCAAACTCTCTTCCCATGGTTCACTTCTATATCATGATACATGCATATACATGATATGCATGATATATATATACATGTATATATATGAGCGCTGATATGTGTGCATGTATGTATAATGCACAGCTGGCCCATTGACACCTTGATTGTAATCCAGGAAACTGGGTTTTTTAACTTCTGACCTATAGGGATGTAAGATAATACATTTGTGTCATTTTAAGTCACTAAGTTCGTGATAACTGGTTACAGAGGCAATAGAAGACTAATACATAGGGTGACAGGATGGTGAATGATGGAGGATACAAGGGCATCTTAGAGGAGGTGACCTTTAAGCAGAAAGGAGAATGAAGTGAATAAGTTAACCATCTGGTTGGCTGGTAGCGGGGGAGGGAGGAATTACTCCTGCTAGAGGGAATAACAAATCCAACGCTCTGGAAAGGGACTGTTCACATTGATTGACACTAGCAGGAAGGTTTGTGTGAGTGAACAAGGGGAAAAGTATTAGTAGGTGACCTTGGAGAGGTAGCCAGGGGCCAGATTATCTAGGGTCTTATCCCCTTGCTAAGCATTTTGATTTTATCCCAAGTGGATGGGAGGTGGTAGGAAGGTTGTAAGCAGGATCCTGTTACTTTTTAAAGGGCAAAGTGACTGTTAGGTGGAAAATAGACTCTGGAAGTCTACAGGGGAAGGGGAAAACAAAGAGATTGGTTAGAAGGCTATGAATTTGTTTAGGTGAGAGATTCAGGGCTGCAGACTAGCTTGAGAGCAGGCTGAAAGGAGTCTATTTCGCTGATGGAATTGACATGTCTTGCTCATGAGTTGGATGTGACGTATGAGTTGTTGAAAAACAAAGTTCATTAAAATAAATTTAGAGATCTAATTAGCCTTATTATGTGATTCATGAATCAGGCACCATCCCACCCAGCAAGTTGAAAGTCTCTGTTGAAGGTTTTTATAGTCAGAAAGAAGGTAGGACAAAGTTGCTTAAAAAAAAAAAAATACTATTTTAGGCAAAGCCACCTACCCTCAAGGGAAGGCAGGGTAGCGGGGGAGTGTCTAATAATGCAGATGACATGACTAGTGCTAACCAGGAAACTCCAGATTGGTTTAGAATTCTACTTTTAGAGAGGTGCAAACTGCAGTTAGTTTAGGTTTTAAGTGCTGCTAAGTCCGGGATGATAACTCCATTTTGGGTCTATTGTTTCTCCTTTGTAACAGCGTGTAGGGTAAATGAAGAACAGTCAGGCTTTATGCCACTGGCCTCTGTGGCTATCACCTGAGGCCTTGAATGCTGGAGGTGTTTGGGAGTGCAGATGCGGGGCACGTGTGCCTGATGGTGGACACCTGGAGTATGGTGTGGGCATGCGTAAGTGGGCACACCTGTGCAGAGGAGGTCACGCCTATAGAGGCAGAGTGTGGCTACTAGAGGACAAGCAATAGCTAGGAGAGGAAGCCCGGAGGGAAGAGCATACAGACATTTGCAGGGGGGCCCAAGTTGCTGTCTCCCTGCTGACTTGATCCCCCTGAATACTTAAAAATCTGTGGGGATGATTAAAAGGGCTCCAAGATTCTCTTTTAAGCTGCCTGAACCTTCAGTGAACCTACCTAGCCTGGGATGGTTGCAGAAGAGAATCAAAGAGAGAAAGATGACATCAAGGGTTTCGATGACGCTATTTGCTGAGATTTGGAACATTCTAGGCAGGACAGGTTTGCATTGAACAATCATGGTTTGGTTTACATACATTAAGTTTTAAATCATACATTAAATTTTAAATGGTTATTGGACAGCCAAGTGAAGTGTGAGGTAGGCAGCTGGACACTGTCTAAAATTTAAGGGAGTGGTTGTTTGGGGCTGGTAATAGCACTCATAGAGTGTAAAGTGATGACACTGCTGCAGGTGAGATAGAGCCCAGAGGTCAGAGCCCTGAGGGCGTTGAGACCTTTGGAGGATAGCTCATCAGAAGGGAAGACCTGAGAACAGCCCTCATCACTTCCATCTTCAAAAAATGCAAAGCCAGTATTTTTGACCATCTGACCTGATGAAGCTTGAAAAATGGCAACACGCCCCTTTGCTAAGGTCCTACCACGTAGCTACCTATCATCTTGGCCTATTTGCCCTGGCTCTCTGTGAGCTTTTAAAATGCCAATGAGCTCTAATTGTGTTGATTGCCTGACAGCTGTGAATACAAGACGCTGACTCCAGAACTGCAACTCATTCTGTGGAGGGCACCAGCCTTCCTGCTAATGACTGCTGAGCTGAGCCACCTGAAGCCTGGGGTGGGGGGGCCGGTTAGGGGGGTAGTTGGGGGGTATTAGCAGCAGCTGCACTTCAGCTCCAAGAAACAACTCACTGAAATCAGATCAAACGGAGGCTCTTCCCCGCCTAGCCTGGAAGCTTGGGTGGTTGTTTTTGGAGCATTAAACAGTAAGAGTCCTAGCTTAACTGGCACACTGGTGCTTTATGTCTGAAAGGGATTTGGCTAGGCCTACCATCTCCACTGTGTTTTTTTGAAGTCCAACTTTGAACAGAGGACCTTGAGAAACTCCTGTTACCCATGAGCTCTTCTGCCCAAGTTTGGAGTGTGACCAGCACCACTGGAACTAGATCCCTATTTTAATTTGGTTTAATTTCTTCTTTAAACTCTGTCTTCCCTAACTTTTTTTTCAGTACAATTATTCTGACCTTGTAAAGAGCCTGCCACTTTACCTCCTTTTCCCAAAACTCTGCCCCTCTTCACAACTCACTTTCTCCCTGACTGTTCTGCCATCACAGGCAGTCAGCTCCCTATTAATACACCGCTTAGTGCGGCAAAGCGCAGCCCTGACTGAACGCTGGAATCACCTGGGGAGCTTTCAAAAGTCCTGAAGCCTGGGTCTTATCCCCAGAGAATGCAATTTAATTGTCTTCAGTGTAGCATGGGCATCTGGATTTTTAAAATCTCCTGGGGTAACTTTAAGGTGCAGCCAGAGTGACTGAGAGCCAGCGGCCCACAAATTCTGTGCATTCCAAGATTAACAAACCACTGACTTCAGGACTCTCAAGTATCAGAAGAGTTTAGGATGAACCCTGCATCGTACTTTCCATTTTCAGGTAACAGGACATTAAAGCAGTAGCCTTCAAGGGAAGCCCTGCTGCTTATAGTCCATCTCTAGGGAAAGGCAAAACTGAGAGGAGATATCTTGGGGGACAGTGGGACCCTCAATACCTCATGAAGTGCGTTCCTCTGATACTAAGTTTGCCAGATAAAAATTCGTCTATGTGAGCCAGGGATTTATTTTGGCTCCCTCTCAGGGATTTTGGGAAGTCAGCTCTCACGCCGCACCAGCTTCAGGGAATTTGGCTAGCTAGCGAGGGCGCGCAGTCGTAAAGCCCGACCTCTGCGCCCCAGAAAGCCCAGTGGAAACGAGGTGCAAGAAGGGAGGTTTCTACTCTTGCAACTCAACGTATGCTCTGAGAAGCAGAGCACCGCACAGGCACAGACATCACCTGGAAGTCTGAAACACAGAATTCGGGGTTTTATTCCAGACGTATTCATTAAGAATCTGCATTGTAACGAGATGCCTAGACGGTGAGCACGCAAGTTAAAAGTTTGGGAAGAGTTGGCTTATTCAACTGCGGGGGTTAGCAAAGAGCTAAATTCCACTGAGCAGTAGGGACCAGGCAGAGGGAGTCCCTATTCCCCTTCCAGGACAGGGGTCTTTGTGCAGTGGGGGCCAGACTGGAGGCTGGCTGGCCAAGGTGCCCGGCTAGGTCAGGGCGGCCCCGCCTGCCCGCCCCGCCTCCCTCCTGGGTCTCTGCCTGCGCGCAGTTGCTGTGGCAGCGCCAAACGCCATCGGAGCCGCGCAGCCTGGGCCTCTGCCGCCTCCTCCGAAGGCCCTCCCGGACCTCGGCTTCGGGCCCAACCTGCGGCTCTGCCATGCCCCGCGGGCGGCGCGGAAGCCGGGTGAGCTTTCTGGAGGGTGACCGCGAGGATGGGGCGCCTCCGGCGGCGGCCGCCAGGCCCTCTGCGCAGTGGGCGTCCCGGCAGCTGCCGGAGGAGGCCGCCGGGCAGATCCTGCTCCGGGGCATCTTCGAGATCGGAAGGGACAGCTGCGACGTGGTGCTGAGCGAGCGCGTCTTGAAGTGGCGGCCTATCCAGCCCGTGCGCCCCGCGGGTGAGTGTCTGGGTTCAGGCGTCTTGGCCTCCCGCGGCGCCTCCTAGCTCCCGGCGCCTTAACCCGCGCGGCCTCTCCGCCCTCGCCAAGCTCCTCCTCTGCCCCGGCAGGCGACTGCGTCCCGAAGCCAGCGTCTCCTCCTCCCCTCCCGGGGAGCGCGCGGGCCACCCTCGGGGGACCTCCTCCGGCTCCCGTCCCCTCCCGCTTGGCTCTCCGCCCCCAGTGCGTTCCCTGACTCACGTCACACTCAGCTTCTGCGTAGCAGAAGAAAGATTTGGTTCCCAAGGGGGTAATGTTTTGCAAACGCGAGGTCGCCTACTCCCCTCCACGTAGAAGTTTTAATCCATCAATTTCTGAAAGTATAAGCCCGTCACAGAATACACCTACATGTCGTTCTGAATCCAACTCGTTTTACTGATTTAGGAACACTGAACCCCGATGCTTTGATGCTTTGGGGTCTCCCTGGGCCGCTTCTGGGCCTCACATTGCCTTGCCATTGGCTAGAACCAAATCTTTAGGTTTAGTTTATAAACTTTCGATTTTTTATGTTGATTTTAGAATCATCATGCTGTTAACTTGCGGCTGTCTTTTATTGACTTAAAAACACAGTTATGCTGTCCTTCACAATAGAAACATTTCAATTCTTAGTGTAGAGATGATTTAAGGAAAACCCAGGAATGTGCTACAGACTCTTCTAGCTAAATACTAACTCGTGAAATTAAAAAAAAAAATCACCTCCCCTCAAAAACAAGACACAATTTGCTATTTAGATGGCACAATAGAAAAATGCACAGAAGTCTAACAAAATGAAACCACTAGTCAGGGACCCAGCACTGGTGCACTGGGATATGAGTGTGAATTCTGCCTGTCTTGCTGGCTCAAGTAAAGGAAACGATCTTTGATCATAATTAAAAAGCTTCAGGTGTTGGGGAAACCAAGGTGGATTACTAACTCTTGAGTTAAAAGGTGGAGATAATGGACATAGCAATAAGATTGTTAAATTTGAAGCCGGGTTGAATTTGGAGCACAGGTGTTTACTGTAAAGAGTTTAGATTCACCCACAAGAGCTGATTTCACCTACATTGAAGCTAAGTTACTAGAGAATTGAAATGAAACGTGTACAATGAGATTATACACACATAAATATCAATGTTGAAGTGCTGGTAAGAGAAAAAGCAAATAATGAAATACAAAAAGAAATCTGGTTTTTGCATTGAGTTGTGACTGAGGACAAATGGGCTTAATTAGTACTCCTTGCAGTAGGATTTAAAGATAACAGTCGTACTCTGAAGGTTGCAAGCGTTGGTTCTTTGGTTTTCTTTGCCTTCATCACCGTGTACCAGTTTATCTTTGTAAGTAATACCTAGTAGGCAAACCGCTTTGGGCCCCCAGAGTTAGAATTGTAGAAACCAAGTGCTTCCACTTAAATAAAATGAAAAAATGTTTTACTTAAGTAAAATGAGTAAGAAAAGAAAAGGAAATGTTAAGAGATGTCTAAATGTGAGAATATCTCCCTGATGAAATTAACTTATATGTGCGTGGTAAAAGGCAAAAGAACTTGTTTCAGAAAAAAAAAAAAATGGGGAAAAAACATAACTACTTAAATGGATGAAGGATCTAGGGGGGAACCATTGTCTATTGTTAGTTTGGTGGTGACTGGCTGTTCCAGGACAGGGTAGGGTGGGTTCACTAGTCATTATTGGATCACACATATGAAGTATTTCCAAGACCACTCAGTTTTTTTTAATTAATTTTTTTACATCGTTGTTTATTTTTAAACAATATTTGCTTCCCCCCACCCCCTCAGGTGTAGTCACCATAGTTTCCTTCACCAATGCACCTGTGCACCATCACCTCAGTCCCCTGTGCTCCTCTCTCCCTCCCTCTGCTCCCTCTCCCACCTCCTCCCCTGCAGGATGCCTCTGATTTATAATTGTCTGTTTTTGCTTTGTTGTGTTTTTATTTTTTTACACTGATGTCTTATTTGGTCCCCCTATATTCCTGCTGTAAGTGAAACCATATGATATTTTTGTTTTTCCTTCTGGCCTATTTCACTGAGCATAATACCTTCTAGCTCCATCCACATTGCTGCGAATGGCATTTTATCTTTTTTGATTGCTGAATAATATTCCATTGTGTATATATACCACATCTTCTTGATCCAGTCATCTATTTTTGGGCATTTGGGTTGTTTCCAGGTTTTAACTATTGTAAATAGTGCTGCAATAAACACAGGGATACAGGTGGTCTTTTTTTTGAATCAATGTTTTTGTGTCCTTTGGGTAGATCCCCAGGAGTAAGACCACCCAGTTTTTAAATCTCACAGGGTCTTAGTAATTTTTTCAATAAACTTTATTTTTAAGAGCAGTTTTGTGTTCACAGCAAAATTGAGCAGAAGATAGAGGTTTCCATATAATCCCTACCACTCACATATACACAAGCTTCCTTAACGTTTCCCATGACAGTGGTACATTGGTTACAATTGATGAACTTACATTTTGATGCATTATCATCAAAAGTCCCTAATTTAAGATCCACTCTTGGTGTTCTACATTTTATGACTTTGAAAAATTTATACCGTATATATTAGTTATTACCCTCTAGAGAAACCAAACCAATAGAATCTCTTTCTATAGATACCTATGAATGTATGTGAATAGATAGAGGAATGTGAAGGCTGAGTTCGGCCCTGTATGTTGTCTGTAAGCTGAAGGCCTGTGAAGTTGAAGGTTGGGATGTGCGTGCTAATGTAATTCTGATATGAAAACCAAGAACTTGTAATGTCTGAGGACAGAGAAGATGGATGTCCAAGTTCAAAACTGAGAATTTGTTCTGTTTGGGCCCTCAGTTGGGTGTACCTATCTATTTTGGTGAGGGTCTTCTTTTCTCGGTCTGCTGGTTCAAATGCTACTATGCCCAGAAATGTTATACAAGCTCTTTGAACATCCCTTAGCCTAGTCAAGAATAACATATAAAATCATGACAACATTATCCACTATTATAATATCAGACAATTTCATTGCTACTGAAAATTATCTGTGCTCTGCCTATTTATCTTTCCCTCCCCCAAGCCATGTCAACCCACTGATATTTTTATTCACTTAGTAATATATTTTGAGGTTCATGCATGTCTTTTTATGGCTTGATAGCTCATTTCTTTTTAGCTATAGATGATAATCCATTGAGGATTTACCATAGTTAATTAAACCATTCATCCACTGAAGGGCGTCTTGGTGTTTCCAAGCTTTGGCAATTGTGAATAAAACTGCTATAAACATCCATGTGCAGAATTTTGTGTGGACATAGGTTTTCAACCTCTCTGGATAAATAGTAAGGCACACCACTGCTGAATTGTATGGTAAGGGTATGTTTAATTTTGTAAGAAATTGTCACTGTTTATAAATTTTCTAAAGTGGCTGTACAATTTTTGCATTCCCACTGGCAATAAGATTTCTTGTTGCGGGCCTCCCCGGTGGTGCAGTGGTTGAGCGCTGGGTTGCGAAGCTGCCTACAGCCTCTGCAGCGCCCGTTCGATCCCCGGCCGCTCCCCGGCCACCGGAGGAGGGTCCCGCATGGCGCGCAGACCTCTCCTGCCGCCCGCTGCTCTCCTCAGCAGTGTACTTCGGTCCTTCTGCCTGCTCTGCTCCCCGCTCTGGCTCTGGTGAATTCTCTCACCCTCCCGCGCTTCTGACTGTACCCAGTGCTTGTATAAACAAAACAAACAAACAAACAAACAAACAAATAAATAAATAAAACATGCCTCTATAAAAAAAAAAATAAAAAAAAGATTTCTTGTTACTACACATTTTCACTAGCATTTGGTGGTCTCAAAAGTGTTCTGGATTCTGACCATTTTAGTTGACATGTAGTGGAACTTCTTTTTAATTTGCATTACCTTGATGACAAATGATGTGAACATCTTTTTAAGTGCATGTGGCTCTTTGTATATCTCCTGTGGGGGGTGTCTGGTAAGTTCTTTGGCCTATTTCTAAAAATGTATTGGTTGTTGTGTTTTAGGAGTTATTTATATATTTTGGATGATAATCCTTTGTGTTTTTTAAAATATTTTCTTCCAGCCTTAGTTCTCACTAATGAAATAAAATACCATGTGCACATTCCCTAATTTTCCAACTTGAGTAATGAGCAAAGACACTAACGTATTTTCTGAAAGCTTTCACTGCCCAAATTGTGATTAGTGAATGGGCTTGTTGGCAGGGCAGATGAGTATAACAATAGTAACTATAGTCCTCTTTACTGGGACTTGGAATAAAGGGGACTTGGAATAAGGGTGACTTGGACTCTGATTATTGTTCTTTAGAAGTGGGCTGTGAGGAAAACCTGTAAGTCAAGATGAGAGGCACCAAAGCTCCACTGCTTTCTTTGGGTCTTTTTTTCTTGATCATAGAAATGTTTTTAATTTAATGTATTAGATCTGGTCAATCAAGATGTTAATCTGATTGGCAGTATTCCCTTAAATATTTTGGTGCTAACGTAGTGTGAGAGCAATTTGCTAGATGCTATCTATGAAGCTGTCTTCAAGAAGCCTTTATTCTCACATAGGAGATTCCAAAATAGGAAACTCATCAAGCATTAAGCAACTAATACATGCTTTGTGGAGTGATACAAAAAAATCAGATGGGGGCCCTGCCATGAAGTATTTTTGCATTCAGAGGAGGGAGATATCTTTACTTGACAGGTGTTTCTTAATGAAGGATCAGTATTGTTTCAGTTTTATTTCCAAAAAGACCTTGAGTTGAATAGTAAGGAGTAAGTATTTTGTGAAGGGTTTAGGTGTCAAATCCCACAAATTTGGAAACTTAAAATAACAGAAATTTATTATCTCACAGCTTTGGAAGCCAGAATTCTGAAATCAAATGTCATTCGGGCTATACTCCCTCTTAAGGCTCTCAGAGACTTTCAACTTCTGGAATTTATTGACATGTGGTAGCATGTTTCTCATCTTTGCCTCTTTTCCTCCTATGGCCTGCCCCTCTGCGTGT